GTGTGTGTGTGTGTGTGTGTGTGTGTGTGTGTGTGTGTGTGTGTGTGAAGAGAGGCATAGACGGGGCAGACAGAGACAGAAAAGGTATCCTGTAACTCAGGATGGCCTTAAACTTACGGGCATTCTGCATGCCTCAGTCTCCTGAGTGCTAGGATTACGAGAGTGAGCCTTTGCACATGGCAATTCTATTTCTTCTTAGAGCAACAGCTGAGTAACTTAAAATACACACAGGCACGCACGCACACACCCCAAGAGGGCTATAAGGTTGTTTCATTCTGCGTTTAAATAATGTCTTTATTTCTTGATGCTTTCGTTTTTGTTTTGCTTTTGAGACAGTCTTGTTTTGTAGTCAGTGCTGCCCTAAACTAAGCAGTCCAGGCTAGCCTTCAACTCAGACTCTTTTTGCCTCAGTGCCTTGAGTGTGGGATTACAGACATGCACCACCATACTTGACTCAATTACAAAGCAACAGGTAATCCCCCTGTTCACCTTGGCTAATGGAGTAGCAAAAACAACAGCAACAAAACCCCAAGCATCCTTCAAGATCCTGTACGTTTGTCCAGAGTGAGAAATTTGCTCATAGGGCCTACTGCTTTGTATGTGTAATGTATGCACACATGGTCGTCACACGGGTGAGAGAGGATCGCACAGGGCACTGATGTCACATACGTTAGGCCTGTCTTAAAGGACTTGACACTAGGTTTGTATGTGTAATACATACAACTACATTCTAAGAAATCAGTGAGATCAGGAATTTCTCAGCATAGGCATATGTTGATACATATCTTTATTCTTCTCCCATTCCCTTTTATTCCCCATTATTGACTACTAATTCCTTTCCTGATTACCATTTTCTTTTGAGGGAACAATACTGAGGATTGAACCTTGGGCCTGAGATGCAGGGCAGGGGCCCCACCACTGAGCTGCAACCCCAACTGAATATTCTTTTAACATAAATATAAGCCATCAACTGGGATGAGTTTTCAGGGTGACTTCTTTATAGATGTTGCTTCATCGTATAAACAAAGTGTGATCTGAGCACCAGGGAGGAGAGCGTTCATGTTTATGAGGGGCCCCTCAAGTAGAATTTCATCGATTTTTTTTTTTTTCCTGAACACTTGAGAAATATAGTGGATTTTCACTGTACCTGAGTGTATGGGGCAGAATGGAAAGTTCTGGGGAGGGAGAAAGGCTGGCCTTAAGAGAGCAGTGACTGACCCTTCTGTACAATGCCCCTTTTGGAGAATATCTAGTGGTTTGGAACAGAAGGCTGTCACACGGGGGTGGGGTGGGGGGTGGAGGGGTAGGGGGGACAGGATAGCAGGGGCCATTGAGGTGGCAGATACAATAGGCCTGTCTTAAAGAGCTAGACACTGGGTTGAGTTTGGAGGTGAGGAGATGAGGTGCTGTCTGGGGAACTCTTCCAGAATGCGCTCTCCTGTCTCTGGTCCTCCTGCTCCGTGTAGAGATACTCACCACAGTCAGTGTGATAGCTGACTTCTCTGGAAGCTTTTCAGTCTTGTTCCTAGAGAAAGAAAGCCTTAAGCTTGAACGTTGGAACCACATAGTACGGAGGGCTGTACCCCATTCTCCCCTCCTCTCTTAGTTATTTCTCTATTGCTGGGAAGAGACACCGTGACCAAAGCAGCTCTTAGGAAAGAAAGCATTCAAGTGGGGCTGGCTTACAGGTACAGAGGGTTAGTCCATTATTATGTGGGCAGCATGGCAGTATGCAGACAGGAGCTGGAACAGTAGCTGAGAGCTGCAACTGATCTATAGGCAGAGAGACACGGCCTGGCATGGGCTTTTGAGACCTCAAACTCCAGTGACACAGTTCCTCCAATGAGGCCACCCCCCTTCCCCCAGTCATTAAAATCCTTTCAAATAGTACTGTGATTAAGCATTCAAATATAGTAACCTGTGCAGCCGTTCTTCAACCACCACACCTTCCTACTATTCGGGATCCGAGTGACTTCAGGTAAGACAGGAGTCATTGCTCTTGAGTATGAAGGGTACGCATGTAAGGTGTTGGGTTACTCAGAAACTAACCCTGTGTTTCCCTTTTTCAAGAATAAGGAAGAAAAGTAAATGTGCCGAGATTCTCTTGTTGTTTTGTTTTATAAATAAAAGCTTTTTAAAATTACATTTGCCGGTTGTGTGTGTCCCACCATTCGTCCGTTCATCTATGTCATGGCACATGTATGGAGGTCATGGACAGATTGTCCGGAGTCATTCATTCTCTCCTTCTACCAGGGAGGCCCTGGATTCATACTTAGCTGATCAGGCTTTCTGGCAATGTCTTTACCTGTTGAGCCATTCCCTGGCCATAAATGAACTATTTTAAGTGGTCTTTATCTTTGTTGTAGGATTAATCACAATGAAAGGTTGGAGTTCCTGGGAGATGCTGTTGTTGAGTTTCTGACCAGGTAAGTAGGTCTTCCCCATCTAGCCCCCAGTGATTACAGTTGATAAGCGTTACCTCTTTTGTAATTAGCCAGCAATTCTTAGCAGGGCTTTGGAACGACATGTATTTTCTCCTCTGAAAGCTTAAAAGCCACATGGCTGTGGCTCTGGCCCTGACAACTGCTCTTGCTGCTGCTGTAATGAGTGAGATTACAAGATGAAAGGCTGGTGTCTCTGTCCTGTCAAGCATGTGTTAAAGTTGTTCACAGCCACAGGAGATCAGCTGGTCCGGGGCTGGATGCTTCAGAGCTTATATTCCGTTTGAAAGGGAAAGGATGGTATTTTAAAATGTCATTTCATCTTCCAGGATTTGCCTTTGATCCTGTTCTGTCTTTCTAATCTTGAGGGAAGTAAAGCTTCCAAGTAGTTTTAATGACTAAGGGTGTGTGTGTGTGTGTGTGTGTGTGTGTGTGTTTGTGTGTTCGTGTTTGTGTGTTCTAAGAACTTTCCATTGGAGGTACAGACTGGAAAGTGCATTTTGTCTTCCCATGCTCACAATCTTTTCCTTAAGGGAGGTGACACATGCTCCCCTGGAACTGTAGTGAACAATTTTTCTTATAACAGTCCTTTGTTTTCTGAAGAAGAACATAAAGATAAGCTCCAGGATGAGCTGTTCTGGTGGGCAGCAGGTTTGAGGATGTAGAGTGCCGTAGGAGAGGGCAGCTGCAGCTGTGATCCAGATGTGTTCTGGGCGGCCTTCTACCCTGGCCACACTTCACCCTGGAGTTCCCTGACACATCATTGCATAGAACCTGCCAGATGTCACTCACTGCTCTTTTCCTGGCTGCTGTATTCTGGATACTTTACAACCACATTGCTACTCAGGGCTTCCCCGGATTGTCCTCAGGGGCTGCCCATAATCCTCCCCAGTGAAAGGCATCTGTTTATAGGCCCAAGTTTGGACTTTTAGATAGATGTTTGCTCTCATTAGTCAAAAAAGTGTGACAGATTGTATCATTATCAGATTTCAGACAACTTTTTGAGCCATGGTCTTACTATCTAATCCTGACTGGTGTAGAACTCACCGTATATACCTGGCTGGCTTTGTACTTACGGTGATTCTCTTGTCTCTGTCTCTAGAATGCTAGGATAGCAGATGTCTGTCACTGTGTCTCCCCAGAGAAATCTTTTAAGACAAATATATCCGGGTGTACGAGTAAATGTTGCTACTAAGGTTTTGTGTGTTCGTAAATAATTTACTCTTTAGGTTAGTTCAGTGCAGTTGACTGGTATCTGTTGCAGATGCGACGTCATCCTGTGTCTGTACTGCAGAGCTGCAGACAGTTTGTGATGGGGATTTATATGCTCTTTTCTGTTCTTTTTTCCCGGCAGTGTCCACCTGTATTATTTGTTTCCTAGCTTGGAGGAAGGAGGCTTGGCAACCTATCGGACTGCCATCGTGCAGAATCAGCACCTTGCCATGCTTGCAAAGGTATTGTCGGGCATCAGAGTGACAGTATAAAAGCAACAGCTTTTAGAAGCAATTGCAGAATCTGACATTGTCTTCTGGAGCCCACAAAACTCTGCAGCTGAGTGAATCGTTCTCGAGAATATACCTGGGAGTCAGGTTTTATGGACCAGACCATGGTGGAGTTGTTTGTTTCTCTGTTTTGGTCTGTTACCTTTGTGAATTTCACCAGCAGCTAATGAACTCAGCTGTGAGGTAACTTGAAAACAGACAAGTAAGAAACTGACAGATGTACATGAACAGCTAAGCATTTGGGGGAGAGGAACATGGGAGCCATGCAAAAGAAATGGAATACTTTTGTAATACATTTGTTTATTAATTTATGTTAACAGGTAGAATTATAGCTCTGAACAGAATATTTCAGACAGTTCACATCCATATGGGATAGTTTTTAGACCTCTGAGAATCTCCAAATCACAAATCCCATTAATTAAGATTTAGGCTTTAAGCTTTAGGCTGTATTGCATGCCTCCTTGACTTAGCTGCGTGGCTAACAGAACAGACTCACGCTAGGATATAACCACAGAGGAACATGGTCATTTTAGCTGACCTCTTAGGGTTTTGCCCATCTCCTTTCTTGCATCCTGGGTGGCTATAGGACAGTTGTTCTCTCCCAAAGCCTCAGCTCTCTCATGGATAAAGTGGGACACACATTGGCTTCCACACACATGCTGGGTTTGAGAATTAAATGACATTTGGAGTTTTAATGAGTCTATTTAAAGTGGGTTTCATGATCTTTGTTCATAGAAATCATACGAAGATAATAAATGAATTTGTAGCAGCTGGTTATTTTTAGTGTTGTTTATCATTGTTCTTACAATAAGTTCTCACATTTTATAGGCTTTTGTGTTTATGCAACATCAGAAAGGGTGAAGGCTTTTAAATTCTTAGATGGCAGTGTCTACCGGAAAAGCTTTCCTTTGCTTTTGCCTTGAGTTGTTTCTTCCCCTTTCCTTTCATTTTGATATAAAAGTTGGAAAAGAGTAGTTTTGTGACTGGCTTATTGATTTGATCTTGTAAGGATGTTAATAATATTAAAAATGTAGCAAATTTTAGCATATGGTTTTTGTGTTAGCACAGAAGTCTTGTTTTACTTTGTGTAGTATGTTATCACAGCTACAGTGGTAGGCTGCAAACCTAGGACATTGGATGCTCTCCAGTGCCATGAGGAATGACTGGCTGGCCAGTGTCCTCCTTTAGGGATTGCTCTAGATGGTCTTATTTCTCCAAATCCACCCTAGTACAGTTCTCTGAGTAGGAATCCAAGTGCTTAGAATATGGTGTCTCCAGCCATATTCATCTTTTGATTTCTGAAGTTACTTATTTCTTATCCTAATATATAATTACATATGAATCTTTTTGTAGGACCAGATCCATGATAAATTACCTTACAAAGTACCCCGGACATCACCTAGCTTCCTTCCCTGTAGCCTTGGTCTCCAGCAGAAGGCTATGGTGGTCCCACCTTTTTCGAGAGCAGTAGCCCTGCAGCTTTTGGGGAGCAAGGAGTTGGAGAAAGACTGACAGCCTCTGTGCATCTTAGGGACTTCATACCAGTGTTTGTTCTCCTTCAAGAGTTCTGCTAAAGCCTATGTAAAAATCAAGGCTAGGAGAGTGGGCTGTGTGAGAAGTTGGAACTCCGCAGCACCCCAGAAGAATTGTTCATGACATAAAAATGCAGTTTGCAGTCTGTTCTCAAGCAGGACTCCAGAGATAGCAAGCAATTGTATTTTCCCAGTGAGCCTGTGAAACAGATGACATAGTTTACATAGTCTAGTATAAACTCTGGCACTCTGGGATCAAGTGTTTTTTTGTTTTTTAAGGAACTTTGTGCTGTTATAACTGTGGTAGTCAAAACCGATTTGAATATGTTTTATTCTCTAGATTCTTAGCAGTGCTTCCAGTCCAAGTGGGTATGGGCAGTGTGAATGTCTTTAATCCAAAGACTGGTGAGACTACAGCCGTTAGTTTGTACATTAGCTTGTGTCTTATTCCGTATATGTTTCAGACGTTTGTTTAGGAAGTATTTTAAATTTTAATTTATGGAAGTGGAAACAGACTTAATACATATTTATGTCATATTTGTATCTTTCTCCTTTTATGAAAAAGTCTCATTTTTTCAAAACAGAGAAACAATTTTCTAAGGACATGTTTATTTGTTTGGGTCTGGCTCTAAAAGGTCTTATATTTAATTGTATATCAGGATATAAAATGAGTAGGTGTGGAAATCCAGGTTAAGGAGCTGAGCCTCACCTGTTCCGTGTGGGACCTGACATCATCCATGTCACGTTATTCTGGATCAAAGACTTGAGACTTTTGGGTACACCCTTGGGTTAGGTTTGCATCCTCTACGTGAATCCAAACACCCATGTTCTTGTAGCAGAATCTTTTTTAGTGAAGTGTCATTCTTGGTTTGCACTTAGATTTGAAAAGTCAGATCTCCTCATTTCTGACCCCAAATCTGACTGTTGGAATTTGGAAAGTACTTCTGCTGGTCAGGACTGAACCATGTGGATTTCTAGTGAATTAATGTGTAGACTAAGCACCTGACACGCCTGCATAAGGCCCGTGCATTTCAGCGTTGCCCCCTTCCCCATGATACACAAGGCTATTTTGACAAATGTTCTCACTTTTTGTTTTGTCATTTTGGATTTTATAGAAACTTGAACTGGATCGATTTATGCTGTATGCCCATGGGCCCGATCTATGTAGAGAATCAGATCTCCGGCATGCAATGGCCAATTGTTTTGAAGCATTAATAGGTAATTTTCCTTTAAAATCTGCTTCTTTTATGTACTGAGCTTGTTGGAGAGTGCATGGAATTCATTGTAGAAGCTTACAATAGAATTACTTGTTCCTAAAGCATGTGAACACCCGCCACATTGTCCAGTAGTTACCTTAGTGTCTCTAGGGAGTCAATCATGCTTTCTAGTTATTGCATTCTTCCTGTCTGATGTCATGCTTAGCATTTCCTGAATTGGAGTGAATTTATGTGTAGATGGCTTGCTTTCTATATTTGACACACACAAACTTACACACACACACACGAAAATGGAAAGTAAGTTGTTAGTAATGTCTCAGTGTATCTTCTGAACACATTTTAAATTGTTGGCAAGTTTTCTGATTTTATTATTATCTTGGAAAGAAAACCTTTTTAATCCTTTGTAACTATTGTTGATTGATATAGACACTTCTCACCCAGGCTTTATATCTACAACATATGGTTAGCTGTTAGTACAGGAAAATTAATGGAGAATTAATTAGCTGGTAATTGAAATACACTTTATACTAAAATGTTATAGTAAACCAACAGTTTCTTGCTTTTACGTAAATGACTAAGTACATTTATTTCACAAAGACCTTCGTACTTTTTTTGCCCTCTTTTTTTGGAAATGCACACAATAGTTTTATAGTGATGATGATGCCAAAAGAATGTTAACAGTTCTCCACTCTTCCTAAGCAATGTGTGCTTTTTATCAATAGGTGTATTTCCAGAGAGTTTATCACAGGGAATTACTGTGCCCTGTCCACATGATTTGGCAGGGTTGCGGTTTGACTTCAGGCTTGAGTAGACAGGATTCCATCACTTGTCACATAATGTGTCTCTGGCAGATAATGCAATCCCTGATCTTCACTTCCCTGTCAGAGATGGAGGCACCATCACTGCCTCAGGAGTTCTTGAGTCGTGCTGGTCCTGGCAGCACCCACTTCCAGAGTAGAGTTCCATAGAACTGAGTCGTGCACCAGTCAGCTCTGAGTCTTGAGACTCTTCTGACACTTTCCCAAGCCTTCCCGAGAAGGGGCAGAGAGGAGTGTGGAGTAGTGATGCCTGCCAGCCCTGATCCACAGCTGCTGCTGTCTTCATCCCGCTGTAGCGATTGATGCATTCAGTAATACCTATTGATCAAAAGCCTTCTAGGTTAGCATTTTAACTTTATATATGGAAATGTAGCCATTCTGAAGACAGATGTAAAATTTTGATTTTAAGAAAATATGACTTTTCTACTGTAGGTTTATTTTGCTACCAAGCTAAAATGTTGCCATGGTGCTCGCAGCTTTTGGTTAGTGTGCATTTGCAGTGTCTCATTACTTCAAATTAAAAGTGGAGCCTGTCCTGGTTTTTATTTTCAGAAGACTTCATTGGTCTAGTTTCTGGTTTTATCTAGGTTTCTGTTGTTGTTGTTGTTCACATATATATGTTTGTTTTAAAACATGCACTGTAAAAACAGAAAGTGAATTGAAGTGTTTTCTTTAGTATGGTTAAATATTGTCTCCTTAGTAAGGTATATACTGTATCTTTCATGAGAGTTCATATCTAGCCTCTTCTGCTTACAAGTTTTAGCGAATTAACTTTATAATGCAGTCTGAATTTTAGCACAAAAGCATAGCTAAGGGCAGGAAAGTGTTCCCTTAAAACAGTCTCCTCTTAGCGCCTAGGCTTTCTGCCGTGACTGGTTTTAGCTTGCCTTTTTGCTTTTTATAGAGATGTGTAATTTTCTCTGCATATTAATGCAGCCTTCCTTCTGACACTCGCTCGCTTTCCTGCAGGAGCCGTTTACCTGGAGGGCAGCCTGGAGGAAGCCAAGCAGCTCTTCGGACGCTTGCTCTTTAATGATCCGGTATTTATGTTCAGCCATCTTTCTCTCCTCAGCTCTGTATCAGTGCAGAAGTTCTGTTTCCTGAAAAGACTGGGGGAAAGACTAAATGCCAGCCTCTCACAGGTGGCGGACGTCAAGTACGTCACCATCAGCTCGTTCAACTCTTGCAGACGTGGGAGTTCTGGGACAGTCTTTCCAGGAATTTTTTTTTTTTTTTAACCTGATGATCTTTCCTTGTGGAAAGATCATTTAATCATTTCTAGATTAAATGTGGATTACAGATACAAAAGGAGTTGTTATATTCTGCAGATTTTCTAGGTTAATTACACTTTTCAATGAGTACCTTCCCCATGCAGGCCCAGTTAACGATATTAGCCTGTTCCTGATTTGTTTTGTTTTATTTTTTGTTTGTAAATTATGTAAAGTAGTGGAACATATTTATTTTAGACAGGATTTCTGATAGGCCTGTGACTAAATAATCTAGGAGAACTTTTTTCTAAAGCAAATTACATTTTTTTTAAACGATTCTAGGATGGTTTGTGTTACTAATGTTTTAAGCCATTAATATTGCCAGAGATATCCTTTTACTCTTGCGTGTGCTAGAGCATCCTAAATGCTTTCTGTACCAAAACAAGTCACTGTAACGTTAAAGGGAAAGGCAGCTCTATTCCAAACTGAAACGGCATCATAATTGAATGAAGTAGCCCTTGAGGAATGAAAAACACAGGATGCCGGTTGTAAGCCAGGTGAAGCCCTCACCTTACACGCTGTCGGGTGTTACGACTGCATTACTTTGTGTAGTTAAAAGTCAATAGTTTTAAACACGTGACCTCCATATTCTGTCCAAGAATTACTAAGTTTGTTTTTCTAGAGATGGGATGAACTTTTATGTTTGTGTATTTGCTGGTAACAGAAGAATTCTCTGCAGACCCATGGTCCCCCATCTTGCCCTACATACACAAACAACTGTGCATCTTGGTTTGTGTCTGTAGCAGATGGCATGTATTTTAGGACTTCTTTCTCAAATTTTAAAATATCCCCGATCTGGCTTTTATCTTCTGTTGGCAGCTTGGGCAACCTTCTCATGCCTTCTCCAGTGTTCCCCTCACCTCTGATGTCGCTGCTCCTTTGTCCTGGATTAACCTGCACCCCCTCCTGTGCTCCTCCCCACAGCTTTCTAGCCTGTGTTCTTAGTTGGCTCTGCTTGTGTTCAGACTTTTTTTTCCCTTTAAACTTCTCTGTCCTGTCTGTCTACTTAGTAGGCTTATCTTACACTTCCAGAGCCCAGTTCGGTGCTGAGCTGCCCAGCACTGGATACTTAATAAAGGGCGAAATGAAGAATCGTCTGAACGGAAAGCCGAGCCTGGGCATTATCTTACAAATGGAACGGCTGAGGCTCACAGTTCATTTTGGTGTCTCTTGTAAAACTGAGTAAGGCTCAGTAATACATAACGTTCTGCTTCAGAATTTTCATGTATACAAGCTGGAGCCTTTTAACTTGACTGGCATTTCCAAATTGGCTTGAGTCTACTAGCTATTGAAACATTGACAAACACTCTCACTGACTCACACTCTCTCTCTCTCTCTCTTTCTCTCTCTCTCTATCCCCTCCCCCTTCCCCTCCCCTCCCCCTCCCTCCCTCCCCCCCCTCTGTGAGTCTGTGTGTGTGTTGTTATGAAAATGTAATAAGCTGCACACAGAGAGGAAAGAAACATAGACAACTAATGCAGGTTGACGAACTCTCTGTAACTATGGGGTATCTATGTTAGTGAGGAGAGAAGTATCCTTTAAGGCCAGGGCTGCTGCTCAATGTTGAGGGTATTGGTTGTCTGCTGTGTGTGCGCCCAGATTAAGAGAAGGGGTTAGTCTGAGATTGGGTGCTACTGTGAGGTGGGTTAGCAACCCAGTGTCCCGATAGTTGTGGTTTAGGGGATAGTGCAGATCTAGGCAGCTAAGAGGGCAGTGTAGTCAGGATGGCAGAAGGCACTGAGAGAGGATCCTTTGACTTCTCTCCTGTGGGTGGGTGGGAAGGAGTCTTGTTTCCTGTTAATGTCCCTGTTGACGTCTGCTCTTACCCAGCCCTTTCAAACAGCAGGGCTGTCTTGTCTTTTCTCCCTCAACTGACTTTTCTTTCTAAGAACTATTTGCTTTTAGTTTGTATAACCCTCCAGGCTTACCCAGTGAGTTTGCCTGTGTGGAAAGCTTAAGTCTGATTACCCCGAGCGCCCCCTGACAACAATGGAAAGACATTACGTCATTTTCCTGTCTCCTCTCTTTTCTCATTGTACATCTGTCCCCAGCGTCTCTGACCCAGGCCATTCTCTGGCATACTAGAAATTGGAAAAGGTGTCTCTTCAAATTGCTTCTGAGCAGCCTGGTGTGGGTCTCCCACAGACGGCCATTTTAACAGGTTAATATTGGCTCCATCACCTTTGGTCTCCAACACGTTTTGCTTTTATTTTTATCTTTAAATCACAAACCTCAGACTCTTTCCAGCCCTAAACTTTTTTCCCCCATATATCCGTTCAGTTTTAAGTTTTCATCACTTGACTGGGTGACTTTTGGTTTGCTTCCCTTGAAACTGTCCTGTGCTTTCTCAAGGCCTCTCATCTCTCGCCTGTTAACTGTCCTTCATTGTCCCTCAGTGCTGTGTGAGTGACAGGCCTTCCAGTTTTAAGATATTTGAGTACTAGCCACCAAAGTCTATATACAATGTAACATAGAGAAGGTTTGGTGGGGTTTTGTTGCTGTTTTAAACAGGGCCTCACTATGTAGCCCTGGCTCACCAGGAACTCGCTATGTAGAACAGGGTGCCTTGAGAGTGCTGGGATTAAGTTCTCCGATGGTTCTGCCTGTGTCGGTCTCCTTTTTTGTCCATTTTCTTTGCCGTCTGTGTCTGCCTGGCATTTGGTTCTCACCCTCTGCTGGTGTTTGCTAGATTTTCCATCTTCTTCAAGTCCTCTTTGGAGATTTTTCTCATAACCCTGGGCAGAGTGATGCTTTTCCTCTGGCACCGACTTCCTCCCAGCTCGGTGTGGTAGCCTGACCTCCTTCAGTGAGCCTACCTCAAGTGCATCCATTTCTGTTCGTACGAGATTTAGTCTGTCTGAGAAACTGGCAGCTGGGATGTAGTTTAAAATGATTTTTCACTCTTAAGGGACCTACTTCAGGTTTGTAAGTTCTGTGTATTTACCTCTGCTGTTCCTCATTAGGCCTCTTTGAGGACAGAGCTGTATCCTATTTATCTTAGTAACCTAATACATAATGGGTATTTAATATCAATATGCTATGTTAATGAATGGCCCAGCCAATCTTGAGCATTTTCTAGAAGCAAACCATAGTCCTAGAGTTAATTAACAGTATCGCCGGGATCCCAGGCTAGATGTTTGCAGTGTATTTTCTCTGACACTACACTGGGGTACACAAAAGGAAGCAGATGTAAGTGAAGTTGTCTGGTTGTAAGACGGCATAAATTCACACCAAGACGGGTGGCCGTGGACATCCAGGAGAAATCACAAATACTTTTAAATGAAAAACGTGAAACAGCGAGAAGGAAATGATTCAGAGTGTCACGTGAGTCTTGAGTTCTGGAGACACCTGGGAAAGGTTGGAAGTGAAAGCTGGTTTATCAGTGCTGCTGATGCATTGTTGCTGCTAGTGGTGTTCTCCCTGACCGCACTGGGCATCAGGCTCTCTCAGTGTGCTACTCACTGGGCTGCTGTCAGGGACCGATGTGAAGAAGGTCCTAGGATTATCTTCAGTTTATACCTGTGGAAATAGTGGCCTGGGGAGAATAAGAAAGTTACCAACATGCACGCAGAATTAAACCTAGGCTCCTCAGCCGAGTCTGCACAGTCCCTAGCTTACTGTATAAAGGAACGGGAGCTTTACTGCCTGAGTGCATGTGAGGTAAACATGCCCGTCAGGTGTTCCCAGTCATGACGTAGATGAGAGGTCACTGGAGCGGAATAAAGGAATCCAGACAGAAGCAGGGGTGAAGAGAGGGAAGGATGGTGCTGCACTCCCGAGGAGACAGGTGGCCAGAGGCAGGCAGGCAGAAAGTGTCCATCCTGTCGTGGGGGGAGAGAACAAGATGTGGAGAGAACACTGGGGGAGGGAGGGAGGGAGGGAGAGAGAGAGAGAGAGAGGGAGAGAGGGAGAGAGGGAGAGAGGGAAGGAGCGGGAGGCTGACACTCTGGGGGATAAAAGGGAGAGGTTATTGATTGGTTAACAGAAGTCCTTTCTTGAGCCTTTAAAGAACAGTTTGATATTTAAGCCCTTTCTTTAAACATCGAGAACCTCTGTGCTTTGTTAAGTTGTTCAGAACCATTGAGCTTCCATTTCCTCTTATCACCTTATATCACAAATGAGCCTAAATTTTCCTGTATCCTGCCAAAAACCAAACTTTAGAAAAACATTTCTTCTTAGGTTATTTTTCTCTCTTATTTATAAAAGCCTAGCGTCAAGTAGAGGTTCCCAAGGGTCTGAAGTGAAGGAAAAACACTTTTTTTTCCCCCAAGGAAATCAGAATTCTAACTGCTCCTGGATTTACCTCAGCCACTGAGATAATATACCAGGATTTTCCATAAGGTTTATATATTATCATGTTTCAAGTAACCATTTATTCGAGCCACATTAAAGCATGGTCTCAGAGTTGTGAGGGCTTAGGAATGTGATGTGGGGTGTTCCCACTCCCTCTGAAGCAGGCTCGAGACAAGAACATGAAATCGGAGGGCATGTGGTGACAGTCGGCAGCGGATGACCAGGTCTGGGGTGTGAGTGTGACAGTCGTGTAATCCAGTGTATTGGGGTGTGA